TGCCCAGGTAGGGAGGGCTGCTGGGCAGCTGCTTTGGCATCCCCGGCCGCACGTGCCAGCCGTGCCGACTGAAGTCTGAAGTCCTTGCTCAGATTGAGCCGTGGTCTGCACCCGCTCCCTGTCACCTGCTCTGCTCCATGCCTCGTGCTGGGGACAGCTCTTGAGTCACCCCAAATCCTCCTGCCCACTGCTGCCCCGTGGAAAAGGCCAGAGGATGGGGATACTGAGCGTGGGTGCTGGAGGGGGCTGGGGGTTGCACCCTGGTCAGGTGTGGTGTTTCATGCCGTGTCTTGCCAGGACAGCTTTGCACCCTTGTCTGTCTGAGGCTTGAGTGTGTCACAGGGATACCCAGCTCTCTGGTGCTGCTTTGGGTTTTAGCAAGGTGGAAGAAGTCAACACCAAGGCCTGGGGGGAAGCGAGTCCCAATGCTGCCCAGGGATGCGAGATGGTGGCCAAAGCTGTGTAGCTTTGGTCCTCAAAGGTGCCTCATCTTCTATTTCAGACCTTCATCTTCACAGACGGGGAGGATGAGGAGCTGAAGAAGCAAGCACGTGAGTCTGTGGCCCTTGTCCTTTTCTGTGTGTGACCCAGCCAGGTCCCCTGAGAAGACCCTGCCTGGGGAGCATGGCTGGTGTGGAACCTGCCCTGTGGAACTCTGGAAAAAAATCGTCAAAATGCCACTGGTTAGACACTAATCTCAGGAGGGGACCTGGGCTGAGAACAAGGCCACTCATTTCAGTGATGGTGTCTAATGCCCTCTCTGCCGAGGAGTCTGGGTTTCCTTCCCAGTCATCCCAGCCCATCTCCTGCATGCTGCTGCTGGGAGCATGCTAACGAGGTGCAGTGCCTTTGCACCAGTTTGTCCCTGGGGCAAGCTGGGATTGATTGGTTGATGTGACCAGGGTTTCATGGGAGCATTTCCCTGGCAGCCGCTCCCGGGGCCAGGGTCAGCTCCTCTATTCTCCCCATGCAAATGACTCCTTTTCAGGCCGGGAAGCAGTTGCCTTTGAGCTGGGGGAGCAAAGAACAGGTGGCCACTGTGGGAAAAGGCAAGGGCAGGATTTTGGCTGTCGTGTCCTGGGTGGAGAGGCTGGCACATGGACACCCCCTCGCTCCAGGGGTGGCTGGTGCCTGGCCCCAGGATGCGCAAGGTGATGTAGGGTGGCATCATGCATTGCACGTGGGATATGGCTCAACGCCGGTCCATCTGCTGCATCTGCATCCCTTGCTCATCCTTTCCATTGTCTCACATGGACCCAAAAGCCCTTCCCCAAAAATTCATTCTTTGCCCAAAACATTGTGACATGGAGGCCACCGAGCATCAGGGAGGTCCATGAGGTTTCCATTCCCCTGGAATGTGCATGGTGAAGCATCGCTCTCTGA